TTATAACTCATACTTGAATACTTCCAACATCTTCCCCTCAAGTATGAGACCCAACATTATGCTCCCCCTTAAGGGCAACTTCTGCGGAAGTCTTTTTTTTTTTTAAGTATTGGAGTCACACTAGCCTTCTGCGGAGGCCTTGAAACATCACCATCTCTAAATACCCGGCCCAACCAAACCTTTGGCTCGGATACCACTGTTAAGAATGGTACGGGGGAGCCCAAAACCCTTTGCAAAGGGTACATCCACCAATGGGTTAAATGACAAACCATAATAAGTGGGCCGACACCACATCTCAACCCAAAACCTTAAGGCTGTAGGTTTATGGGTCTTTTTGCACTTATATAGTCATCACTTGGTCTATATCTAGTCGATGTGGTACTTCTTTATAACTCATACTTGAATACTTCCAAGAAACCCGACTCATAAAATAATGCATAATTTAAAACTTTCGTCTATCACAGACATTGGGAGTAGATCTTAAGGAAATTGATTTTGTTTTACGAAATTGATTCTTATGACAGCAAAATTTTCATTGCCAATATAGAGACCAAGAATTTTTAGAATCCAGGTTTCTAGCCAACTGGATGGGGAACTGAAATCAGATAATAGATTGTAGTTGTGATAGTTCTCAAAGCATCCAAAGAAATAATAAAAAGAAGATAAAGTTCCTTACATCCTTCAACTTATATATGCTATTCAGCCCTTGTCTGTGTCCTAAACCTAAAGCTCCACAGTTACCGTTTAACCACAACTTGCTTGATCATGCAATTGATAGGGTAAGTCCTTTTTTTTTAATTGAGGTCAAAGGTAGGCCATCTACAACTTGATTCCGACATAATGGCATATTTGGAATTCGAACCTGTAACCATATATTTACATACGCATTACTTACTCATTCATTACTTATCTAACATCTTAATTTAAACTGATATATTTTGTATTTACCCTGTGTTGGAGATGCCAACGTCCTGTTTTGGCATGGCCAATGTGAGATCAAAGTCAACTCAAACCATGACATTTGAGTTGGTGGTAGAAATAAGTAGAAAGAGTTATATCCTAATTAATAGCTATAGCTTTTGACTTAATAGTAAATGTTCGATTTAAAACTTGATAACTGAGGTTATGGATTTATTGATTCAATTCCCAGAGATGACACTTTGCGAGAGGCAGGTGTTGGGAAAATTGTTGTAGATGCCAACATCCTAGTATGGTCATAATCATTGGCGGATCCAGAAAATTAACGAAGGGTGGACACTCAATAAGTTCAAGTACATATAGATCTAGGTTTGGTCTAGAACGTGACTTGCGAGCAGCAACGGCCCGCTAACTGGATCTGGTTTAGATTTAGATCTAGATTAGATTTGGATAATGAAGGTGGAGGAGAAAAAAAAACTCACTGTAAAATAAATAAAATAGAAGGAGAAAAATTAAAGGGGTATGATATTATAACAACCAACTAAGCTACTACCAATCAATTTCACCGTTAGATCGATTATGTTGATCCAACGGTTATATTTATTTTCATCTTTGTATGGTTATGATTCCTCATATTTAATATTTTATATTTATTTTTACCTTTGTATGGTTATGATTTTCCATATTTAATTTTTTTATTTTAAATATAAGGAATCATAATTATACAAAGATGGAAATAAATATAACCGTTGGATCAACATAATCGATCTAACAGTGAAATTGATTGGTAGTAACCCTAATTAGTTGTTATAATATCCTACCCCGATATTAAATTGAAAAAACTTGAATTTTAAGAGAAAAATATTTTTATATTTTCATAACATATTTTAAGGGTGGGCACTTGCCTCCTTCTCTTATACCTCCATCGCCCTCTGGTCATAATCATATTAAACCAAGAGGCTTGGACTGGTAGGGTAAATAGAAAATTAAGTTGCACCCGGACTAACAACGATAGCTTCTAACCTAGTAGTAAGTGTTTGATCCATCACCCAGTAATTTGCACACCATTTTCTCGCAATCAATCAAACAATTAATTAAAGATATATTTAACAAGTTATGTGTCTCAGTTGGCACTTCAGTTTCACGAGACCAAACTTTTCGAAGTTTTACTAAAATGGGTTAACATTTTACTGACTTTCAGATTGATAAGTGATTTCTACCGTTAATTAATCCAACACATACCTTAAATCTTGACAAACTCTTAATTGTATTTTGTCAAAAAAATTCTAATTAACATTACTCTTGGTTCCATAACTTTTTTTTTTCTCTAGATGATTTGGGAACATCATCTTTTTGTCAGTATGGGCAAATAAATTAAGCATTATGGATTTAACTCCTTCTCATTAACCTTTTACACTATTTATAAGGAGATTACAAGATATGGGGACAATCGCAACAAATAGAAATCAAACCCCTATGTTCATGATGAATCTCATTAGGAAGATGGACGTTGTTCTTTCCAAACTATGAATATACATCAACGTGCATGCGATCAAATATAACATACTCAGGCATTCCTAATTTTAAAGATCATGAAAATATTATAAAATGTCCTCAGTAAATTAATTATCGATAAAATTTATTCTTTGTAACTTATTCAAATTTTAAATTAAGTTATTATTATTATTTCTTAACTTGAAATTTATAAAATTTACATAGTTAGTTATTTAATTCCTTTCGTCGATTTTACCGATCCTAACACTGAGCATATATATGAGTTCAACTGCTTATAAAATAAAAGTTTTTTTTTTTTTTTTTAATTTACCGTTTTAGAATTCTCATTTGAAGTTGAAAACTGATTGGCCTTTGATGAGAAGATGCTTAAACCAAGGACATAATGAGATAAACCAAAAGCTAGGAACTCCTCACAAAAAGAAAAAGAAAGAAAAAAACTATGAACTCAATAACATGCAACCTCCTCCAGTTTTGTTTGTAACTTTGTATATATAATCACCCTCGTGATATAGAAATACTAACATACAGCAACAAGAAGGGTGTTCCTAGCGGTTCAGGGAATCAGGGATATTCTTGAGCTAGATTGATAAATTCTTTAGATTTGGAATCCAATTAAATCAATTTAAATAATTTTTTTTTCAATTTTGTTATTTAATTTTCTATCAAATATGTTTTAAGAAAAACACAAATTCAACTTCTTATTCTTTCTCTTTTCACTTCTTTTTTTTTTTTTTGGTAGTGCATCTTTTCATGATTTAACCGATAATATATTCACCCAAAAATCTTAAAAAGCACTGTTAAGAGACATATATAGAACAAATTAGCTTAAAACATTTTCTTAAATAAACTGTAAATTAAAATTTAGACAGTAAATTATTAAAAATATATATATAAGTATCATAGAATTATATGCTTGGTTCGATTTGGTTCAATTCAAATAGATAAAAATAAATTAAACTAATTCGGATCAAACTAAACTTAACCGGTTTAGAATAATTACGATACGATTTTTTTAACTTTAAATCGATTTAGTTATGTATTAAAAAAATGGATTTAGCTAGGTTATGAATGCTCCTAAAAGGCATTTGTACTTAATTAAACAAGAGAAAGTAGTGGATCAACTAGTAAAAGTTATTTCAACTTAAGCAATAATTTTGAGTTCGAATCCATGGCAATAGGGACTGCGCAGGTATGGAGAGTTTTTCCGACCGGATGATCCTACCAAAAAATCTATAGATAATATTTAAAATTGAAACTAAACCTAAACCAACACGAAACTCTTAATTTTTGTTGTGTATGGGTTTTTCCCTCAAAATATAGCTTGGGGAAAAAAAAAACAATGGATAAGGAAAAGTATAGCAGAATTAGGATTTCGAATGCTGTTAAATGTTAATCATAATGGGAAAAAAAGTCTGAACGTCTGAACTGCAAGCCTGTAATCTGAAACCTGACAGGCAAAGCAAACAGTGTACGATTTTGCCGCGTGAACACCCACTCCTTGTTTATTATGTTCTTTCATCACTTTCTCGCTTTTCACAGCGCACTAACCAAACATATCTCAGAATGGGAATTGAATCATTGAAACCATAGAACTTTAAATGTTTTTTTCTTTATTTATTTTTTCTAGAGATAGAAAAAAGAAATAACAATGACCCAACACAGAAGGGAAGAAATTATCTGAAAATCTATGGAACAATTAATAAAGGAGGACGGATATACAAAAACAAAAAAAACAAAATTAATAAAGGAGGACGAGGCACATCCTCAACAACAACGCATAGTTTCACAACACAAAACACTATCACTCGCATTAGTTTGGATCATGAATTTCTAAGCTCTCGTACATTGAATTGTGTCCAGAATAAAATGGTGGGGACTTTGAGATTTTAAATTTTAATATAAGAAAAAGAATCTGGAGGAGGAAATGCAGAAGATGGCAGATATGAAGAACGAACACAAATCGAACTTAAACAGCATTGCATTTGCATGTGATACACGTTAATTAAATTAAAGTTATTATATAGGAATATTTTTTTCTCATACCTCCATTACTCACTCTCGCTGTGATTTTCAGCATCACATATGTCGAAACACTAGCAAGTTTTTCAATTGTTACTTTTTCTTCTTCATTTTTGTATTTTTTTACAGACAAATAAACGAGAATTAATTCACAATTAATGTACAGTAGTACATGTTAACCTCATAATTTAATTATCCTCACCAAATGCCTGCTAACTGAAGGTTGCACAGAACATGCCAACACGAAACTAGAAATCTACACACACTAAAGTCCCATAAAATAACAGTATAAACTGAAATTGACTAAAATAATTAAGCAAATGAAGAACGACTAAGAACCCTAGCTTGATCTCCATTCAAATCTCATATTACAATTTTTTTTTTTTGGCCCGTTTTCTTTCATACACAACGCTCTCTCTCTCTCTCTTCTCTCCCTCTTGTCCCACCCACCCCATTGATACTAAAAGAGGCAGTTCAGAGAGAGAGAGAGAGAATGGCATAAAAAATGCCCAGCCATATCGATCGAAAGAGAGAAAGAATAATAAAAATTAGGGTTTCTTACCAGGGTTGTTCTTGTTATTGTGCATCCAAACCTTGAAAACGTTTCTCTTAATACAATTCTCAGCACAGAATTGCTCAACAGCAGCTTCATCATGCTTCTGGATTCTCCAACCAAGTTGCTCCGCAAATGCCCCCATCTTCTCCTTCTGCTCCTGCGTGAACTTGGTCCTAAATCTCTTCTTAGTTCCGCCGCTGCCTCCGCCTCCTCCGCCGCCGCTGCTGCTCGGATTCGACATGTCTTCCTCCTCCCTACTCATTCCCCCTCCCGACGCAGCAGCCGGGAGGGCCAGCGGCCTGTGCTGCGCCATCGGAGGAGTTGCCAAGTGGTGGTGGAGGTATCCGGCGGGATGAGGTGGTCCGCGGTGGTAGTAAGGCGAGAATTGCTGGTGATACTGGTGGTGCAGCTGCTGCGGAGGCTGCGGCCGCTGATAAGAGCTCATCTCGCCGTCGATCTCCTTGCGGTGGAAATTCCGATGGCAGTTACAGGCCGCGCAAATCACGGCCTCCAAGGTTCCTTCCTCTCCCGCCGGCATGAACTCACAACAGCCGTCGACGGCGTGGCCTCCGAAGCTGACGGCGTGGTTCTTCTGGCATTCCCTGTACCTAACTGTCCCAGTTGTGCTGAACCCACCTTTTCGTCCAATGGTGGATGCTGCTCCCTCAGCTCCGACAGCGCCGCCGATTTTGGACCTGGAAGCTGAGTTTCCTAGCGAGTCGTAACTCGGCGGCGGCGGCTCCGGGATCCCCATTTCCTCCTCTTGCTCGTCAAATTCCATATCGCTCTCCACTTTTAGTTTTTTTTTTTTTTAAACAAAAAAAAAAAAATTCCCTCGATAATTTTGTTCTCCCCTTATAATTTAGACCTTGGTTATGCCCTATTGTTTGAGAATAGAGAGGCAATAGAAGATCTACATGACAGAAAAGTGAAAATGATAAACTAAGCTAAGTAAGATTCCATTTATTTATATTGGATTTAATAATAGTAATATTTAATATAAGAGAAAATTTATACTTATATTTTTTTTTTTAAACATCTTACAATCATATTTTAACACTGTTGATTTCCGTCGATCAACGGTTATCATTTGTTGTGAATTAATAATTAGTTGATGAGTTTAATTTGCAAAATTCATAATTGTTGATTGACGAAAATCAACGGTGTTAAGATATAATCATAAAAAACTATAAAAAAAAATTATAAGTATATCATTCTCATAGTAATATTGTCACATAAGTACAATAATTATTATTTTGTTTTGAGTTAGGAAAAGAAGATAAGAGATGGGAAGAGGATGTGGTCGACATCAATAAACGGTCTGCAGAAAAGAGGTGTCTCACTCTGGAAAGCCAATCAAATACTTGCCACTACATAATTAACACCTGTACCGTTGATTTTCAGTCATTTACTTTTTACTTTAACTGCCTATAACCACGTCTCTACTCTCTCTTTTTTTCTAACCTTGTTTTTTTTTTTTCTTAAAAAGAAATTTTTTTTATAAATCAGTTACATTTTCTGCATACAGTAGACAACAAATAACAAGTGGAATATTAAAAGAATAAAGTTATGGGTTTAATGTTTAACTAGTTGGCATTTATAGCAAAGGATAAGCATAAGGATGAGATGAGAGTGAGTAAAGAGAGGGAATATGGTTGGTGTGTGCTTGTGCTTGTGTTTGTGTGTTTTAGAAATAGAACTAAAAAATTGAGAGTGGTTGAAGAATTGGCAGCAGAAACGGGAGAGAGGAAGCATGCAATGAATAAAGATAAAACCTTAGGACACGGACTTCACATCGGACGAATTAATCTGTCTGCATTTATGGGAGCTGCCTACGTGCCCTTCTTCTCCGACAACACATGACGTCACTCTTCCCTCACCCTTCTTTCTTTTTTCTTTATTATTAGGGATTACCGTTAACTTCACTCCTGTTTCTTTGCTTTTGCTACGGTGAGCTTACTCTGCGGTTCATGCAGTGTTGCAATGCGATGTAACTTTTCCCAAAACCAGACGGGGGACATTGACCATTGTCATTAAAAAATACTCGTATGTCACATTTTAACAAAATTTTATCAAAATGATATGTCACATTCTTGTTACGTCACTCATTGAGAATGGATTGGATATGTAGTAGCATCTGAAAGGTCAATTATTTTCACTGAGCAGCTCAACAAAATTAATTACCTGAATAGCTTTAGCAAAGAATATTTATATTTTTTTGTCACGTGTCAACATTATGTTATTCTCGCTAGACTGCTCAGCGAGAATGATTAATCATACGAACACTGCCACGTATTCAGTCTATTCTCGCTAGATTGCATAACGAGGAGAATGTAACATAATATATTGATAAAAAAATTTTGATAAACTTTATTGTGTTTTTATTAGTTTCAATCGTAAAAAAACGCTTCCCAATACATATTTTCTCCATTCAAAATGGTCAACTTAGGATACTAAAGGATGAAATAAACAAATTATAACAAGTTATGGGGTGTACTCACAATTTCATTGGAGCTTTTCAATTTTATTTTACTTTATTTATAAAATTGCAAGCTCCAAGTACAATGTATATATCTAGAATAATTTTTTAATACTAATTTTATCAAGTCATTAACTCCGGTACGTAAGATTAGGAACACTGATAAAAGTGTTTTTGTTTGACAAATTTTTTATCAAATGCCGTGAAAATACTATTTTTTATTAAATTATTACGTGTCATTTATTACAACTAGTTGCGAATTTCGTTGTTAATGAGAAGAAAAAGTTTATAATATTTATAATTAATTGAATAAATAATTTACTATTTAACTAAATTTAAAATTCGGAACATAATTGCACCGGACAAACAGAAAAGCTGGATTTTTTTAGATGCACAAGCTCTCCTATATAGTCTTTCTATTTAATAATTAATATATGTAAAAAAATTATTTATAAATAAGTAATTTCTATTTAAAAAATTCTAACGTATTATGCATAATTACACATAATAGAATATTATATGGTTATCTAACAATTTTTCGATCCCTAAAACCAAAGCAAATGGCGCCCTAACCACCTATCCCTGCTGCAAGTATGCAACTCTAATACTATTTGTTGGACTTCAAAGTTAAAGCACAAGTTTATTGACGGGTTTCTTAAACATTCTAAACCTTAAATTTCACCTCCTATATATATTTGTTAGTTGTTGGTGGAGGCTAGGTTAGATTGAGATAAAATTCTTTGAGAGATTTGTGAGCAAAACTTTGAACTCTGTATTTGAGAGATCTCTAGAGAGAGTTTGAGTGAAACATCTCTAAGAAAGTTTGATTATCACCATTGTTGGAGAGGTTATATTAACCACCACTTTGGTGAATTTTTGATTCTTTGTATCCATTATTTTCATAGTGGACGTTTGAACTGGACTAGGTCTCGCAGGTTTTACTTCTTCATTGAAGAAGATTTTCTCACGTTAAAATCTGCTTGTGTTCTCTCTCTTTCTTTCTCTCTCCTTTGTGTTTTTCATTTTTTTCGCTGCGCTGCCCGACCTGGTAAAGTTCAGGTCGAGGTAACGTTGCTGAGATCCGAGATCCAGGATCTTGTTGATTGACTTTCGTGAAAAGGCATCTTAGTCGAGTTGAGGGAACCGAGTTCCCAACAGTGGTATTAGAGCCCGAGTTCGACGGGTTCAGAGGGAGACGAGATGGAGACCAGTGGTATAACTCATGATGGAGATATGTTCAAGCTGACCGCATACAATTTCACCTATTGGAGAGCGATGATGGAGGGTCATCTCTACTACAAAGATTTACATGAGCCCAATATCCTTGATGAGAGATCGGAAAGCAAAATTGATATGGAGTGGGAGATCCTGAGTCGGAAGGCGATAGCCACGATCAAGAAATATAGTGATAAAAGTCTCTTTGAGCACGTGTCCGAGTTCACAAACGCGTACGAGTTGTGGACGAAGTTAGAGTCCATGATTCAGAAGAAGACTCCCAGGAACAAAGCACACCTGGTTCGCCGACTTATAAAGCTCGAATACAAGGACGACATGAGCATGATTGAACACCTCAACACCTACAAAGGTATTGTTAATCAGCTGTCAAAAGCCGATATGAAAATTGATGACGAGATGCAAGCTTTATTGCTGTTGAGCTTGTTGCCAGAAAGCTGGGATACTCTGGTGGTGACTTTAAGTAATTTGGCCCCAGAAGGAAAATTGAAGATGGATGTCGTAACAGATAGTCTTTTGAATGAAGAAGCCAAGAGAAGAGAACGAGATGTTTCTAGCACGTCTAAGGCCAACGTTGCTGAGAACAGAGAGAAATCTGACTCCCAGGGTAGAAACAAAAGCCGGGGTCAAGATCGTGACAGAAGAGGAATGTCCAGAGGTCAATCAAAGTCGAAATATGAGTTGAAGTGCTTCTATTGTGGAAATATAGGACATTAGAAGCCAGACTGTTGGACTTTACAGAATGATGAGAAGAATGGATCTGTGAAGCCGGATCAAATTATTCCCAAGAAGAGGAAAAACATGAGCACCATTGCTGTGGCTGCCAACTCGGATGCCAAGATATTCCTCCTTGGTGAGGATAATTATTTGAATGTTGCATATGATGACTGCACCAGGATTGGTGACTCTGGTGCCTCCTTCCACGTCACTCCACATAAGGGTTTTTTCTCTTCTTACCGAGGTGGTGATTTTGGAGTCGTGAAAATGGAAAATCAGGTGACCAACAAAATTGTTGGTGTTGGTGATGTAACTCTGACCACAGATATCGGATGCCAACTTGTGTTAAAAGATGTAAGGCACGTTCCTGACATGCGATTGAACCTAATCTCGGTAGGCAAGCTTGACGATGTCGGGTTAGTGAACTACTTCGGTAGTGTTAAATGGAAGCTGGCTAAGGGAAACTTGGTCGTGGCCCGAGGTAAGAAGGAAGGCTCCTCGTACGTGATGCAAGGAAAGATCAATGGCGGAGGAGCCAATTCTGTCCGAGATGGACCTAGCTTGGAGCTATGGCACAAGCACATCGGCCACATGAGTGTGAAATGGCTCCAAATCCTGCACAAGAAAGGATTACTGACCAGGTTGAAAGGCCAAACGTTGGAGAGTTGCACGCACTGCCTAGCTGGAAAGCAGCACCAGATTTTTTTTGTGAAACAGGATCAACCCAGAAGACGCAGGTATATTCTTGACCTCGTCTATACTGATGTTTGCCCCATGTCGGAGAGATCCTTTGGAGGAGCTCAGTATTTTGTTTCATTTATTGATGACCACTCCCGCAGAGTGTGAGTTTATTTGTTGAAGTCTAAAGACCAGGTACTCCAATATTTTAAAGAATTCAATGTAATGGGTGAAAGGGAGACTGGCAAGAAATTGGAGGTGGTCTGATCTGACAATAGTGGTGAGTATTGCGGCCCTTTTGATGCATAATGCAGAGCGGTCGGGATCCGACTTGAGAAGACGACCCCCAAGACACCTCAGCTGAATGGACTTGCTGAGAGGATGAACTGGACTATTGAAGAGAAGGTCCGAGTATGCTATCCAATACCGGATGGCCGAAATCATTATGGGGAGAAGCCGTCAGAACTCCTGTTGACTTGATCAACCTCTCACCATCACGGCCACTTGAAGGTGAAATTCCAGAATAAATCTGGACAGGGCGAAAAGCGGCCTATAATCAACTGAAAGTGTTTGGATGACGAGTTTTCGTGCACATCCCTAAAGATGAAAGGGCAAAACTCGATGCGAAGAATAATGAATGCATTTATCTTGGTTCTCCGAGAAGTGAGTTCGGG